TTTGACAACAGTAATTTTACCTATCAATGTTAAATTTCTTTTCCTCCAATTCCCTAAAATTTGGTTAATAATTTCAATTTTCTTCTTTGTATTGATTGACCGCCTCCGTTGTCTAGTGGTAGAGCGTCTGCCCGGAGAGCGGAAGGTCCGGGGTTCGATCCCCAGCCGCTTCATACCAAAAGACGTTAAAAGATGGTACTTGTTGTTACCCTGTCTGGCGCTCGGCATTAAGGGGCTAAAACAAGGACTTGTCGGCTCAGAGTCAGTATACTGTGTCTGAGTTGGGTATTCATGTTAAACTGCGGCATGGTATCTCAGTGAGCTAGCACTATAAATCGGCATCTGTCTGGACTAGTACAAGCAGCCATACACACACACACGTACATGCCCCTCGCTATAAAAGTGCAATAATCTTGGACGCGACGTTAAACCCCATTTCACCTCACCTCACCTCATTTGTTCGATTTACATTATATTTTCCGTTTCTTAAAGCCCTGATGGGGTACTATATTATTCTTTTGGGTTATTAAAATGCAACTATGCAGATGTACCATCTCAAATAAGTTCCGCACTGTCATCTGGAGACCTTATATAAAATATACCACAGCTTGATATTGTTTAGACCAAACCGCCTATATGTATCGCAGCACGAGGAGATGGTATCACAGCATCTACATCAAACGGTGTATTCGAATTAATGGAACATGTGTACCAGATCTTCACGGAAGTCCATCTAGTATACAGAATGGTTTATCGGCGCAATCTTTGAGATTGATATGTGATGACGTTCGTGTGTATATGTATATACAGTGTGATACACATTGGTGCATTTATATGATCAATGTGTACATATGTAATACATTCTGCTGTATGGAAGAAGCTGTTACAAGTTTATGTAAAACAGTCTGGTAAAGTAGTGTTTATGTGTGGTGGGAGCTGGTTTATGTGTGATGGAAGCTGCATTTTGGGTGTTAGAAGCTTGTTTGTGTGTGGTAGAAGCTTATTAATATATAGTAGAAGCTGTTTTTTTTGTGGTAGAAGCTGGTTTATGTGGGATAGAAGCTGATTTATGTGTGGTAGAAACTGGTTGATGTGTGATAGAGTGAGTGAGTTAAGATTTAACGTCACATCGGCAGTATTTCAGCCATATCGTGACGTGATAGGAGCTTCTTTAAGCGGGATAGAAGCTTGTATCAGTGTGGTAGAACCAATTTTACGTGTGAACGAAGCTTGTTTATGTGTGAACAATGCTTGTTTATGTGTGGTAACAGCTGGTTTATTTGTGTTAGAGGCTTGTTTATGTGTGGTGGAAGCTGGTTTATGTGTGATAGGAGCTTTTTTGTGTGTGATTGGAGCTGATTTATATGTGGTAGAAACTGGTTTATGTGTGGTAGAAGCTGATTAATATGTCGTTGAAGCTGGTTTATATGTATTGGAAGTTCGCATAACATATAATTCTGGCGGTGGGAAATCTTATGTACACATTGGTGCGTTTATATGATCAATGTGTGCATATGCTATGAATTATGGTGTATGGTAGAAACTGTGACAAATTTATGTAATACAATCTGGTAAAGTAGTGGTTTATGTGTGGTAGAAACTGGTTTATGTGTGGTGGAAGCTGGTTAATCTGTAGTAACTTCTAATAGTAGATTTCTAATTCCGTCTAGGGATAATTTCTCGTCCCCGATGACCAATCAGTAAAAACAGGTAGGCAAGTTTTTTTGTTTTGTTTTTTAAAATTTATTTTTAAGTATTATGGTTTCTCAATATCTTAGATTTTTTTCCGATGCGATACTGAATCGAGTTTTAGTTTGGGATTGATCAGGTGCAGACGCGTTTGCTCTGTGTCAGCCGCCACATCTGAGCAGGGTACTACATTGTTTTCATTGTTGCTAGATTCCTGTCATTTCCGAAAACAGGGCATCAAAGTCAATATCGCATAATAAATCAATTTCGTTCACCTCAGTAATTTTACAGAATTAATTTTCTTTACTTGCGTTATTAGTATTGAAAGATAGCCATTCCACATCCAAATCACCGTAAGGACAATCCATTTTGTTTCATGTAGCAGCTAGACGACATTAAACACCAGAACCAAAGCATTTATTTATTTATAAGTCAGATGAAATGTTCCAAGATCAGGTAAAAATACTAAATTAATTATATTGCTGATAAATGCAGGGATTAAAAAGAAAATAGAAAAAAAAACCGAGTTGATCGTAAACACCGATCGAGAATTCGGGGAAACCCCGGAAAGTAGTCCCGGCAAAAGTTCACACGATCAATTTCACCAAAAAAAATTCACATTGTATGAACTATTTTTATCCGTTCACAGGTGTGTGAACTCCAAATATCAGATCACGTGACTACCCATTCAGCTAATCGGCACGAAAGAAACAGTGTAAACTTCAAAGTATGAAATTATAATAATTATATACGCATTTGCATTAGACGCACACACTTTAATTCCCATGTTATTTATATTCAAACCAACTAAACTAGTGTCAAAAAGAAACGATACCAGCTTATTTTCAAAATTTTTTTTACTAAGTGAATTGTCAAGTATGAAAACATGCCAATTCGTATTGCACATCCCAAACACAGCATAGTCGATAAAAAATACCGGGAACACGTGATCACTTCCGGGAAAAAACGTAAATTTCGTGAAAGTGAAATTTCCCTCTCTAGCATGTTCTGCACGTGCAGAAAAAACTGTATAAAACGGCTGATCAGACACGTTGATATCACAGCAACAAAAAGAACACAAGATATGCCACGTTTGACAGCCATCGAGAGAGAGAGAGCCGTTGGAATGGTCCAACAAGGAGCGTCACACGTCGACGTCGCCAGAAGGTTGGGCTGCGCACGCATCACTATCACCAGGTTGATGCAGCGGTTACGTCAGACAGGTCAGACAGGTCAGACGTCAGACGTCAGACAGGCCCAGGAGTGGAAGACCACGAGTAACCACGCCCCGTGAAGATCGTTACATCCGGGTATTACACCTGAGGAACCGCACCGTAACAGCGACGTCCACGGCGGCTACAGCACTGGGACACAGGATCAGTCGACAGACCGTCTACAGGAGACTACGGCAGTATGGTATCCGGCCACGTCATCCCTACCGCGGACCGCTCCTGACGCCTCGACACCGGAACAACAGACTGATCTGGGCCAGGCGAGTTCGACGTTGGCAACGGCGGGACTGGGCAGGTGTTATGTTCTCTGATGAGAGAAGATTCCTCATCTTCAGAAACGATGGACGGCAGCTTGTATACCGACGATTTGGTGAATGTTTGGCGCCTAACTGTATCCAACAGGTCCGGCCGTTTGGAGGTGGAGGGTTAATGGTTGTGGGTGGCATATGTGGTGACGTCAAAACGATGCTTGTCGTAATTCGTGGAAACCTGAATGCACAGCGTTATCTTGATGACATCCTACGGCCTGTTGTGGTACCCTTTATTCAGCAACAGCCTCGTGGACTCCTTTTCCAACATGACAATGCAAGGCCACACACAGCAAGATTGACACAGAACTTCCTTGCCAACGCCAACGTACAGGTTTTGCCATGGCCCGCATGTTCACCGGACATGAATCCCATCGAGCACTTATGGGACCACCTCGATCGGCAAATCCGACGTCGCCGTGTGCCTACAGTCAACGTCCAGGACTTGGAACGATGTCTCCTCGAGGAATGGCAACGCATCACTCCCAACGTCATCAGACGTTTGACGTCATCAGTCCGTAGGCGTGTTCTGGCATGTATTGATGCTCACGGTGGACATACCCGCTACTGACTTGACTTTGAGATGTGTGGTGTGACATTTCCCGTTGTTTCTGTGATCAGTGCTCTAACGAAATGTTCATTTTTCGACCCCACATTGTACAGATTTTATTGAAATTAAATTTTTGTACAGATGTTGTGAAAGGATTTCTCAAAAGCATAACACCAATCCTAAACTTCTGCATTGTTTAGTTTTTCTTTTATGTCGTTGCAAACAGGTGGTATCGTTTCTTTTGGACACTAGTTTATTTAATATGGATCTTTCTGTGTGTAAGTGCTAGTGCAGCAGACCATGATCGTTCAAGCACGTTCTACACGAACTGTACAGGTTTTAACAATCAGACAGACGTCATTAAGACAGCTAATTGTCTTGTATTAGTTTGTAATTAATGTGTTATGTACATCAATTGTCGTCAGTGCATCCAAGCAGTTTTCTACAACTTGACATACGCTCTCTGCTGGATGTTTTGTTAATTGTTATGATTGATGACTTAGCTAACAGTATCACAACATGTTTTGAGAATGCAAATTCATCTTTCAAGATTTTCCGTATTTTGCCCTGTGCGGTGTGATTCCAGGGTCAGGTTATCATACTCAATCGCTCATATCCACGACATATTTCACATATTGTCTTTTTAGTTGTATATAAGGGTCAGATAATTAATATTTTGCGATTTTCATCAGGATATCAAACAGCGCAGTATGTTTTAGAATGATCAGTTCAGTGCGGCAAAAACAACACAATGTACATGTATAATGTGAACAACTCTCAAGCAAAAATAACTGTATACTGATTTAAGTTAAATATGTGAGCAAATAGTGTTAGTTATTGAAAATCAAATGATCAGGTTTGATTGTTCTGACGTTCGCTATTTACGTATTGTGTACATGAGATTTACATATAGAAATTACACTCTAGTAACAAAACTAACTTTCTCAATCGCCCAATTTATATTCCGAGTTGGGACAAGCCTTTGAACTTGTTTGTGATTCAGTTATCATCGCCTCCCTTATGTGAACATTTGATTTCCACCCATGTTCATTTTGCTTGAGAAATTGTGCACTAATCATATGTAACCGAGTCACAGACACAAGTGATAACAAACTCAAACAACATCAACACTGTGGTTTTGAAAGCCCTTGAAGAGAACAAATTAATGCGTCTCACAATATGACCATTGCCACAGCAAAGGAACCGTTTTGAAATACTTACAAAAGCAGTGCTGTAGTTTGTTCCATAAAATCGGAAAGGCGGCTGTAGACTGAGGGAGGGGCCAGAACCATCGTCCAGCCCGGGGGTGGCAATGTGACCCTCGGTATCACCGTACGGAAGCAGCGAGCACTGGACCGACAACACACAAGTGGCCAGCAGCCATACGGGCCGGAGGACTTGACGACTCATTTCCAGGTCAGTGCAGTGTGGACTCTCTGCAACATACCATCACTGGTATCACTTCCACATCCTACACGTACATCAGCAGCAGATATATCCTCCTTACTCCAGACACACCAGCCTCCAGAAACATGGTGCGTTATATTCTGATAATATCCATACGTTTAGGGAAACCAAACGTTCGTGTATACGCGAACATTGCATACCTATTTGCCAAATATATTTTCACGTGTTTCCCAGTCAAACATGAAAGCAAATACAATTTAATTTCCAAAATATTATCGCATTGAAGCAAGACTGGGACTTCGGACACGATGATAGAACTCAGTTACATCTTACCTTAAAATATTTAGTTGCTAAATGGTCCAGTTGGATAAACAATGAGAACTCGGCGACGTCCTTACCTTGATGATTCCCGTGACAAGATATGATTTAACTCTATCCCTTTATAAAAACAAAAATACGAAAGATTCCCAAGAGAAATACAACAGATGTAAGTTTCACTTGTCGTTTTTATCTCATTCACAAACTACAGGTAGTTCAATTAACAAAATCCAAACTGATTCGGGAACATATCACAGGTAAGCCGAACACGCAGGGAGATAGAATACCTGCAGATACCCTGAATATATACCCACATGACTGCTGCGACGGTATCGACAGAATGGGTTGTACCTCTTGTTCGTGGGTCAACACACTGCAGAGACTCATACTCTCTATGGCTGACAATGATGGCGGTCTCCTCCCCAGAACATCGCACTCGTCATGGAGCGGGTGGCAGAAGCAGGGTGTTTGGCGATTGATGGGCCACTGAGATGAGATAATTACACGACCCACATGCTTATATTAAACCCTCCAGATCGTACCCGGTGATTACACTGTACAGACCCGAGAAGCTCATCTTTCATACAAAAGTGTCATTGGAGCCGAACAGGCGTGTAACGTGTTTGTCTGAGAAATAATACATTTTCAAGATGAGTTATGTGTTATGGTTTTGCGAAGATATATTTGCTTTTTAGTGCTATCGTAAAGGATACATTCCATTTACAGTAAATGTTTATCTTAAGCATCTTTTAATCTGGTTAAAGTAGCGAATAAAGATCCACACGCCATCTATTTAAATGGGAAACTTGGCTTACAATGCACACAGCGAACAGTGGCTATAATTTTCTTATGAGCAATAGGATTTTATGTTTATCATTTAGCCCCCTGAAGAGATCGTTATTGACAGGAAAATTTGTTCCCGGTGAAATATTGTGTTACAGTCACAGCAACTTGCAGCAATAACTTTAAGCTCCATATTGTTATCACTACCGTTATTTACACGTTGTCATATATACCATTCAGGTATCTGTTTCATATGTATATGTAAAATGATGAACAATATTCAGGTAGGTGTTTCAGTTAACATGTCTAGTGATGTACACTATCCTGGCATGAGCTTCAGGCATTATGTAAAGTGATGTACAATGTTCAGGTAAGTGCCCAAGGCAACATGTAAAGTGATGTACAATATTCAGGTTAGTCTCGGCAACATGTAAAGTGATGTACAATGTTCAGGTATGTCTCAGGCAACATGTAAAGTCATGTACAGTGTTCAGCTATGTGTCTCAGGCAACATGTAAAGTGATGTACAATGTTCAGGTATGTGTCTCAGGCAACATGTAAAGTGATGTACAATGTTCAGGTGTGTCTCAGGCAACATGTAAAGTGATTTACACTATTCAGGTATGTCTCAGGCAACATGTAAAGTGATGTACAATGTTCAGACATGTGTCTCAGGCAACATGTAAAGTGATGTACAATATTCAGGTATGTCTCAGGCAACATGTAATCTCATGTACAATGTTCAGGTGTGTCTCAGGCAACATGTAAAGTGATGTACAGTTTTCAGGTATGTGTCTCAGGCATTATATAAAGTGATGTGAAATGTTCAGGTATGTTTCTCAGGCAACATGTAAATCCATGTGCAATATTCAGGTATGTGTCTCAGGCAACATGTAAATTCATGTACAATGTTCAGCTATGTCTTTCAGGCAACATCTAAAGTAATTATCCCAGGTATGTGTTTCAGGCACACACAGCCTCGAATGATCCATATCAGGTAATCTGTAAAGTCAAATCAATTGCAGCATGCCTACATGGCTTATTAGATTAAAACATATTCAATTAGGCATTCCACAAACCACCATTTCACTACATTCTTAAACTGGTGGCGCAGATACATGTATAAAATATTTGTGTTTCTATCCTTTCCTCGAGGTACAATGTATCTGCACCTACGGTATTCACGGATGTACCACAGTAACGTACCCTACCACACACAGATCACGAAATACCAGTAACAGTACTAACAGTGGCATATGTGTGTGCATGCTAGTTACCCACCACAAAGACACTCGCTTGCCTTATCGGGTTGTCTTGTACAAAACAAACACCTGATAGCCTGTTTTAATAATCATGTCTCAAGTTAAAGTAGCGTAACATAAACACCAGATTGAGAGTGTTTATTGGTAACTTAAGTTAATGTCATATAATGTCAGAGACCAAGTGTATATCAAACATATCAGTCACAAGACACCTAAAAAAACTGGATGATATCAGTTGTCACAACATGACTACAACAATGGCACGCCAGAGAAATCGACAACATTTTTAAACAATGCAAGAGACGTATATTTAGACCTTCAACGGTTCATATGACCACCGCCAGAAACTAACGACAGTATCGATGACCAGCCTCTGTGTTACCACTGTAGTGACGTCTTAATGTAAATGTAACACCGATATTAAGTGATTAAAATCTAAAACGTTGCATCAATTACAATAAAGATAGCATCCACACCATCTTTTCATCAGATGCACATCAAACTTCTGAATGCCACTCTTTAGAAGATCATCTTAAGACTTGTACGCGTGATTAGAAACACTTTCCAAGATATCTTGAATATTTGCAATACATTTTAAACACAATTAGCTTTGGGTTAAAGGGTAAAACATTAATTCTAGTCGTATTATAATGGTCATGAGGTAAAATATCAATAATGATGTTATGTAACTCTGACATTTATCTCTGTTCTGCTTCTGTGAACAACAAGCGGGCAGATGCTGTAGCAGACAGTCACTGTATAAGGTATTTCACTTGATGGTATTTCCAGTCCACGACAGAATAATTTTGAGCTTAACATTAACGAATATGTTATATTACTTGTACCATTGTTGCCCACATCCACTAAAGTCCATTCAGGAACTGGATTCCAGGAACGGCGATTCCCCCTCGAACGTGACACATGGAAAGTTCTCCCCTCACCATTTCATCTAAAAAACACAATCGAGGTCGAATACAACATTTTGTTGTGAGAGGGAATGTATTCTGGCCCCTTCCATCCACGGGTTGAGATGATTCCGTTGTGGACTCTTAGTGATTTGGTATTTCCATCTAACTGTTACCCACAATTCCGAACGTAAATATGCTTAAATGCATCTTACGAAGGTAAAGGTTTATTTTAAGGTTGTAAGGTGTATTTTGTAAAGTTCAAAAGTTTATTTGAAGTTTTACTAGTGTTGAAAACAAATATAAAATACCTGGCGTGCCATTTTTGCTGTGTCATGTTTTGGGACAACTCCAAGTGTGGTTTATCATCCAAAACTGGCTCCCACAGGAGATATCGCTTGGGTAGAGATCGCTGCAATGAAATTGCATCACAATGCTTTGCAGACCATTGTGACGTCATTGGTTACCATGACGTCAAAATCAAATGACATTATTAATTGCTCTGCTACTGAAGCAGTTTGCAGTACTTTTTACACTTAAGACAATGCTTATTACTGTCTACAAACTGAAAAGGTTGGGGGAATGATGTTGGATGATAAATAAAATCTCACCCTCGTGTCTTTTTATAACAAATATATCAACACTCGTTGATGAAAGTGGAAATAAATTCTCGGCAAGCCTCGGAGTTTTTCCAATTTTATCAACTCGTGTTGATATATTTGATATCAAAAGACTCTCGGATGAGATTCTCTATTTATCTTTATTACTTTCCCGTGAAGAGATCACCCGTTTAATAAACATACAGCTGTATTACACATTGTGTAATACCAAAACGCGTGCTTATGTACTCTCGGAACACGTTTCACGAACAAATATTGAAAGCTCTCAACATCCCTTGTCTTATTCAACGACATTGCGTATGGAGTTGATAGATCACTGAGAGGAGCTTATGCACACTCGATGACCCCAGCAACCTTATTGCTAGGCTGACGTCACATGGCATTATTTCGCCGATGGATCTTGCAACAAAATTCCACAATTTACGTCATCGGGTATTGTGACGTTATTGTTAACTTTGAGGTGCAAGGCCCGTTCCACAAGGCGATCGTACTGTAGCGCAACGACAGTCGTTAGTCTAAGTTAAAGTATGTGAGTTGCGATAGTCTAAACCCTACGATCATTTTGTGAATTCTAAAGGTGGACCGTGGTATGGTATTAAATTCATACGTTTCAATTTTTTTTTCAAATTTATTATTCTGTTAAACTCAATTGGACTATGCCGTGGATCGTGTAGGTGTCGGCCTATTCATACTCAACAGTATAATTAAAAAAACGTTATAAATGTGAATTCTAAAGTACAACTTAAAAAACCGTTATAAATGGCAAGTAATTAATAAAATACTAAACTTGCTCCCGTGTAAAACCAATTTTATGAAACTTGTGAATAGTTGTGGTATCGGACTCGCTTTCGCTCGTCCGATACCAGAACTATTCACTCGTTTAATCAAATTGGTATTACACGGGAGCTCATTTAGTATTCTTTATTTATATGCAGCATGAGATAGAAGGCCAACCTTTGAGTGTGTATGTTACAGGGAATATGTCAACTCAGGGAAAATGCATAATCCCTGAAATTTTCAGGGAATATTTGAAATGTCCGAATCTCGCACCATACATAATACTTTAAATTTCCAGGTGTGGTACATATTCCCTGAGTCTGAGTCTACCAAGTATCAATAGAACATTGGTAAAGAGTTTATTAAAAAAAGAAAAGGTTCGTGAAACAACATATGAAATTGTTTGTAGCCTGGTTGATGGACAATTAATCAACACTGTCTCAAAACAAAAAAGTCTTTTTAATGCTATTAAAATGCATGATGTAATGCATGTGATGACATTTTTGTATTAAACACATCACCATAACTATATCTTTTTGGTTTCATTTTAGCCACCATCAAATATGAGTGTATACATACTAATATCCAGCAGGTTAGAAAGTCACATTCTTTTTATCTAAACAGGTCGGTACTTTTAAGGTGTTAAACTGATATTAATCTAATGTCGTAAAGAAAATTGGTTATATAAACCTCAAGTCTATCGACCCCTGGGTGTTGAGGACAGTCAAAATAGAGGCTAACAACTATACTGTCTTATAACATTTACTGAATCGATGATAATGCATCAATAAAGTTTGTCCCAAAATTATGCTTATAAAGAAATTAACGTACAATGAAGATATGATAAATGTTTTTTGAGAGATGAAAAATGTATTTGCCCGGGCATGTGTTTGTGACGGGTGCCACGGTGGGACAGGTTACGTTCACCTTTTTGCGAAGACCTGGTATCATCACTATTTGATAGTGATGCATGCTCAGGATAAAGTCAGAATCGTACAATC